TCCGACTTGCGCAGGTAGGAGGGACGGAGGTGGGAAAGAGGAGTAGCTGCGCCAGCATGCACGGTGTGCCAAACTTGCAAAATCCGCCTGGCCACACCCAGTTGGCGAAGCACAGGTGCGCTGTGCCTCCGCCTTGCCCGGTCCGCAAAACTATAGGCCTGTATGCTTAAGTGAAAGTGAAAATCTTTCACTTTTATTTCTGAGGAATAAATAGATAAAATTTACAAAGTTGTGAAACAGGTCTGTGAAGGTTGAAGGGTGATTTGTAATAACTTTGATGATCCTCTGATTTTTTATCTAGCACTACCATGAGGTTGACTCCACTGGTTTTGAGTGAAATACCTCCACAACTATAATAGTGTCATGAAATTTGTAAAAACATACATACAACGCAGGACGCAGAAATACAGATTTTTATCATAGTCCCTCTTCTGAAGGTGATGTTATAAGGCATCAGATTTCATATAATCAACTGTGATCCACATCTCTCACATGCATATGATCACTTACAGGTGAAAAGTCTTGGGTAAGCATGAAAAGCAGACGCCTAGGGAAAACCTAGAATTAGAAAGTGACAGACTTCAGGCACAAGAGTGGAGGAATGTGTTTGTCACAGTGAAGTGTTCACAAAAAGAGAGAATGGAATTTGGACCAGCTTGTTCGTCCAGTTGTACTCCTATGTGCGTAGTAAGGTACCAACTGTAGTTGTGCATTTCAATTTTACATTTTAAGAATATTATGTAGACTCAAAATTACATATATTTTTTGGTATGAATAAGAATTACAAGGTTTTAGGCCTTAGAAGTAGATAAGATCAGCATTTTAAGTGAAATTGAAGATGCTCAAACAAATTAAGTCAGTTTTATGTTTCAGCAAATGTCAGGGTGTCTTTAAAACTTCCTGTCTCTTGCTTTGATTCATTACAAAATGGGAAAGGGATGTAAATTGTGATGGTCTTTATAGAATGCAGGAAACCCAACTGTTCACTATGTGAACTTAACAGACTTCAAAAATTTCAAGCAAAATTTCTTGAGCTCCACAATCACACGGTTTCATAGTTTTACTCCACAGATAGAAATACTAAAACTTTTTCTTGTCGTACGCAGTTGAAATTTAATTTTCGTTTTTTGCTTTAAATGTTATTTCTGCTGTCTGTAATTCCACAAGATCTTTTAATTGTAAGAGTTTTGACTGTGAGAAGAGTTTGTATGATTCTTACCTTGTTTTTTACAGTGCTCATTCAAGCATTGTTAAAGTATCCTTGAGCATGTTGTCTTGTTGAACTACATACATATATATATATATATATACACATACATACATATA